CGCTCGGGCCGCGGCTCCCCAGGCACGAACCCGGCGTCTGGGGGATCCTTCCTCGGGTCGGGGCTTTCTCAGAGGTTCTGGCACGCGTGTCCAACCAGAAGGCGGGAAGAAGCCCCAAGAGCTCGTCGCTCTGATTCTGAAAATTAATCTTGCCTTTTATCTAAGGCTGGATTCCATCCACGTTCAAGTATTCAAGTCCAGTCGCCGCTTTGCTGCTAACCCAGGGCTTTACTGTTACATACTGTCCCTTTTACTGTTACATGCTGTCCCTTGGCTTTTCTATTTTTGTGGCCTGTTTATATACAGACAGGCCTGGTTTTACATAAATACAAATTTATATACAACAGTATATTCCCCCTCCCATTTATATAAAAAGCGCGTAAGTGAAACCTTGTTTTTTTCCCCACCTTCCAGCCCACGCTGTAGTCTGTTCCCAGGCACCTGAACTGACCTTGCTTTGTTTGTTCTCTTGGGCTTGTCTTGAAAAGATCAATAGGTCTGCGTCTTAGCTTTTGCCTTCCACACTCTTGCTGTTTATTACACCTTGGTCTTTTCCGAATGCTATCTTCTCTGTGTGTTTTTGACAGTGTGTGCACTCTTCATGCTCTGTTTTGAACAGTCTCTGTAACTGCCTCATGACAGAGCAGGAAAAAAAACCACCACCACACTTTGGTATGATTCTGAAATCCTCCGGTTGTGAGCTCTCTGCACTGTACAATCCACGTTCCATTCCATTTAAGCTCCACGGAAGTGCTGGGTTTTCGAGGCCTGATCACTTACAGCTGTCTTCCAGCATTAAACCCTGTACAGAACACTTAACAGGCAACCCTGACGAAAATAGCTTTTAAAAATATGGAAGTGTAGTAATTCACTTGGACTGGGTAAGGCTGGGATGTACTTTTCACTAGATTCCTACCCTGCTTCATCCCACAGCTCCTGTGCTGATCAGTGTCGGGACAGTAAGGTCCTGGTTCCTCCCCAGAGACAGCCTGGCTTCAAGGAGCCAAAGGAAAAAAAAGTGTTACTAAATTTAAGCCTTGAGCTAAACTTTAGGTTCCTATAGAACCTGCTTCGTATCATGGCTGTTGCAGCTGTCTCTCTCCTACTGTGTTTTCAGCTGGTTCAAATGTCTTTTAAGGATGGAAGAGCCTGAGCAGTCCCAGCGTTAGCAGACGCTGCTTCACTTACTGCTATTTAAGGTCGGCCGCTCTCAGTAATGTTAACGTAACATTTTAGCATTCTCTTTTTTCAACTGCCGGTTACTGGCTTACTGAGCAGAGTTTGGTATCTGAAACTCTGCACAAAGGCCTCTGGAACAGTTTACGGTGATGAAACAATCTTAGAGAATTGATGCTCTTGTGCGACTTCCTGTTCAGAGGTACAGAGGTGGAGAAAAATGCCTACAGGAATTTTAAAAAGGCCATAGAAGGTTGTGGAAGGAGACCATAATGTATTTCCAAACAGTAGCACTGTTTTAATACCTAGTTGTATTTTCAGAGGGCATTTCCAAATTAGTACAGGAGCAGGGAAGAATCCTCAAACTCCCTTCTTTCAAACAAAAATTAAGAATTACTGTTCTATTTTTACAGGTTATCTTATGAATGAAAGAGCTGAACAGATTGTTCATGAATTCTAGAGGGCACCTAGGTTGAAGCAATGGAGAGAATGGTACTAGTATGCATTTTATTTTTAGACTGTAAAAAGACATTGATTTCAAGGGAAGAATTGTTCCTTCTGATTGCAGTAAGTAACAGCAAACACAGGAGATAAACTCTTGGCCAGTTCATAAACTTCTAATGACTCAGTTAATTTGAAACCTTATGGGGGGCCAGCACACTATGGTCAACCTATAATTTCATTGTCAATATCTGGTATTTGTTCAGGTTTCACAGAATGCACATTCTTGTATTTTGTTTTACAAGCATATTTCTTTGACTTTTTTGGAGAACATGCACTGCAAGTCGCTTTCTTAGAGGGTCTTGAAGCTTCTGTTTCTTTGCTGAATCCGTGTTCTCATTGAGAATTTGCTTCACAGGAGCCGTGGAGATGTCTCGGACGAGCCCTTTTGCCTCCTGGCTTTGTGCTATGCTGCACTGCTTTGGAAGTTACATACTTGCTGATCTGTTACTTGGAGAATCTCCTCTTGATTACTTCAGTAATAACTCGAGTGTTATCCTGGCCACAGCAGTCTGGTGAGTCTTTTGCTCTTCCCCCAATCCCTTAAGCACACGAGGTTGCTACGCACAGACCCATCTGGTGGGCAGGGAGGCGCTCTGTGGGACACACGTGTATTACCTTGCCTGGATTAACTGGGGACAGAAGAGGTGGGGTGAGGTAGTCCTTCGTATCCCTAGATCTAGTTTCCAGTTTCTCTGACCAGTTGCTAACGCTTCCATTCGGTGGGTTGGGTCCAGCCCGGAGGCCGGGCAGTTCTATTTAGAGCTGCTGAACTGTGGCCAAACCGCAGAAGCAGCCCTGCACCGATACCACATCTAGTGGAGGAGTGGCACACACTGGGGGCGTTTTATTCATCGTGTTAGCGAAATGTGCACAAATTAACCACAGTTACTCCAGGTTTCATTTCCTCAGTGCGTAGGGCTTGCGTGGGCTTTTGCGTCACAACCAGCGTTTCCTTCTCTCTGACATAATTCAGGCTAATGCCACCGTACTCTTCATCAGTCCTCTCTATACGTCCCACAGCAGGACAAACAAATGGGTCCTTAAACTCTTTGTGGTTTTGTTCCAGGTATTTGATATTCTTCTGTCCCATGAACCTCTTCTACAAGTGCGTTAGCTTTCTGCCGATGAAGCTCATCTTTGTGGCAATGAAGGAGGTGGTCAGAGTTCGCAAAATTGCAGCTGGGGTCCACCACGCTCATCACCGTTACCACCACGGGTGGTTCGTTATGATGGCGACCGGATGGGTCAAAGGTGAACCATGAACCACTCTCAAGGCAGCGGGGAGGCACCCAGCCTTGTGGGGAGTGGCGGGAGAATCTGTGGGTGAAGTTGTAGGTGTCCACATCACCCAGTGGCGCCCAGCAGGCTGGCCAGTGGATGTGGTCAGCTGGCTTCAATCCGTCCAGTACCCTAGAACCCAAGTGTTTATTCACACTGGCAGAATAGTTGTCAGGTGAGTCACCAGCTAACGTGAATGCACGAAGAACTGGAGTCACTATGAAAAATGGGCATAGAATTCAGTTCTTTATTCTTTCTCCTGTCTCTGGCCTCACCTGTGGTTCCCTCAGCATTGAAACAGCTCAGTTTTCCTTTAGCTTTTGTTTGGAGCAAGCATTTGAGCATCGGTTTGAGCATTGTTCCCCTTAGTTTATCCTTATACCTTGGCAATTTAGAAAAGACAGCAGAATTCTTTTCTGGTGTGGTAGTTCCAGCTGTTCACTTCTATTCTTTCACAGGTTCTGGTGTTGCCTTGATGTCTAATTTTGAGCAACTGCTGCGTGGGGTCTGGAAGCCAGAAACAAACGAAATTCTTCATATGTCCTTGTAAGTAGGTAGCCTGTAAATTCTCTGTCAGGCCAAAAACAGAATGTAAAGAACCATTCAGGACTGGATGTAAATGATGCAAACCTCCTAGAAAACTTCTTTTATTTCTCTTCTAGCCCTACAAAGGCCAGTCTGTACGGCACAGTCCTCTTCACTCTGCAACAAACTCACTGGCTCCCCATCTCTGAAGCTAACCTCATCTTCTTTTTCACCATGTTCATGATCGTTTGCAAGGTAAGTTTACAGCAGGTTTGCTGCTAACAAATCTACAGAACGAAAGAAAGAGTACGGACTTAAACTGGGGGTGTTCACCTTCCGAGGCCACTACAGAAGGCATTGGCTGTACGTGCCAGGAAAGTTCTGCTCAGGAAATTATAGGCCAAATTCTCCAGCAGTCGGCAGTACAGTAGAATATCCTTGTGATACAGCCCCGAGTCACGTAGCAATAGGGCCTTTTATCTGGGATAAGTAAGGAAGGTTCCTTACTAGTTAGTATTTCATAGCTGGTGTATGTGATCTTTAAGCATTCATTGTTGCCTGGCAGGTTTTCATGACGGCAACTCACTCTCACGCCTCACCTTTTGCTCCGGTGGAAAACTTCATCTGCCCAGTTTTCTTTGGCTCTGTTTCCAGTGGACACACCAGTCACCACCACGATCATCATGGGGCCTCCCATGAGGTCTCCCACCCGCCGCCTCCTCCTGCAAAGTCAAAAGAGGAGCTAAATGAAGGCTCAAGGAAAAGGAAAGCAAAAAAAGCTGAATAAAAAAGCAACGACACGGTAAATAGGCCAAGGATATTCTTCCAGAGCTGAGTCTCGTAGCCACCTGTGACCTCCTTTACCCTCCAGTCCTTCTCTCGCACACTCCAGAGGAGAGGTGGAAGCCAGGACACTGCCAGGCGGTCCCTGATTTCATTTGTGCTCTCTGTGCAGCTGCTTGCTTCTTGGTCTCAGTCTCTCTATTCTGATTGTATTTTCAGGGATTTGCAGATTTGTGCCAGGATGATAAGTGGCTGCCAGTTCCCAAGCTGTCAGCAATTATGATGCAGCATTTTCAATTGTAAAATCTTTCACCGTGTTCATTTATGAATGGAGGTAACGGTTTGTGCTCCTACGACTCATAAGTTCCTTTGAGTTTTCATTGACCTTTTCGATGTCTACCAAAACAACAAACTGTTAAGACACAATCAATGCGGAAATTGGATTTCATACTCAAGGAAATTCAACGGTCTCATATGAACCTGATCTAATTTTTCCTAGCTCCCACATCAGCCATATCTCCACTTAATGTGACATTTTATATGCAATAAGGACATCGACTCTGGTGTCCTGGCCAAACTCTTCCTCTTACCTAAGTTCCCTCTGACTCTTAGAAGATAGAACATTGTCACTTTCTTAACTAAGTCTGTGTTTGCAAGAGCTTTGAAGCTGTGAAATGCTGCGAGTGCTTCGTATTGGTACTGTTGTTATTCTAAACTGCTGTGTAGCGCTGCTGCACGTTGTTAATAATAGTGTGTCCCACCTCAAACACAATCGTATTTAACTAGGGAAGAAGCATGGTTCTGGTTTGTTTGTAATCCCGTGGGATATGAGACAGGTGTGTGAGTGTACATAAGTATTTATTACTATTTATTTATAATTGCCAGGGCACGTACTTCACGGACCCCAGACTGGCTTTTTAAAAAATGCTGCATCTTTATATAGAGAATTGGCTATTTCTGAGTGTGGTCCTAAGCCCACAGCTACGTGCTGCTTTGTGCTCTGGTTTGGGTGCACTAAAGGACAGCCTCAACACTCGCATGGGAGGCAGGAAGGAATATTTCCTGTATTCTTAAAGATATTAGAGCTGAAGTGGATTTCACACGAGCTGATTAAAACTACTTTAACAAACTGATAAAAGCACACTGGCAGAGGAGACGGATTGTCCTTCGTGGTCCCTTTCAGCCAAACTAGTAGTCTGTGAAAGTGGCTTGTGCCCGACGCGTGACGAAGAACGTGAAATGCCTTGCATGGGTCAGGGAGGAGCCTGTCAGTTCGTTCATGTTCTGCTGCTGGTTTTTAAACTAGTTTTAAGCTGTTCCCCTAATTGATTTTGTTCTTAAAAGTGTCATCATCCAAGGGCTGGGGTCACTGCGGTGAAAGCGGCACGTGTAGGGATGTAGCGCTGGGCTCGCGGTTAAGCAGCGTGTTGCCTTCCCTAGTCATGAGGTTTCCTGCTGTCATCTTGCAACGGAATATACAAGAAGGATTTAAGAAAAGTGGTTTTAGTTTTTCTGTGTGTCCCCATTCAACACTGAAATTGACGGTTAATTAAAAATAAATTCTTGTATGCAAGCACACGAAAGCCAGTATAAAAGGGCAAATGATTTGCAGGCTTGAGTTTTGACAGTGCCTTAATTTTGTGAGTTTCCCTCCCCTTCAGTAGAAAACAGGAATCTACCCGACAACTCAACTGTCTGGGTTTGCAGATACTGGTCTCCTGAAACCTGACGGATGTATCACTGGCATGCACAAGACTAGAAACGTTTTATGAGATGTCTGATTCAAGGGGAATTTTGTTTTATAAAAGCCATCAACAAATAAAAATTGTGAAGTGACTCTGATTGTCTGCTGGCACTTGAGGAAATACACGTTTCTTTCACTCTTGCCACTCTCAGCCGCCGCGCACTCCTTGATCTACTTAAAGTCTCCTTGACCTGACAACAAGATTATTTAAACTGGAGAGAGAGATCCAGCTCTGGCATGTCCTACAGGTATGCCTGAGCACACACTTCTGGGGAGCCCTACGTCACCTGTATGTCTGCTTCTTCCTTAAGACTCTGCTCCAGCCAGAATGCAGACGCTGGCAGGGCATGTCCTAATGGGCTTCCATGGCCTGGAGATGGGAGCGATGCGGAGAAGGGGACATGGTCTGTCTGCCTGGCTCACTAAATAAGGACTTGCAAAGGGCTATTTATTTTCTGAAGGATTTTGTCCCCCCCTAGATCTAACTCACTTAAAATATTCATTAATATATATCAGAGCAGTTGAGAACGTAAGTTGCACTGGACGGTGAGATTTCAAGTCTCTGTATGACTGAACTGATGGAAAAGAGGGTCAGTGCAAGCCTTATGCATTTTAAAAACAACCCAAAACCCCAGAAAAACCCACTAGAATGTTTCATGTGGTTTAACCCTTCTCCTCTCCCATGACATCTATTTCAGTTATGAAGGAATTTTGCGCAGGAACAATACACAAGCAGGCTGATGAGAGATTTTGAGTGAAAAGTCCTACGTTGTCTCAAGAGCCCCGCGCTGTCCTGGCCATGCAGAATGTTCCCGGCTCCAAACTCCACTGCAGCCTGGGGTAGGAGAGAAACATGCCAGGGCTTAGACTTCCACGGGACAGACGTCATTCCTTCCAAAGATGTTCTGATCTGATAACTCCTGATACTAACTCTAGTGAGATGCAGCTAAATTTAGCAATAGGTCTAATCCTCAAAGAGGCCCCGGTTGCCTGATGGAAAAAGCAAAATGTTTCAGTTGCTGCTCTCAGCATTTCTTGTTGATTGACAGGTTTCCCTTTTCTGTTACGCAGTGTGAGCCAAACCCAGCGTCTGCAGCTTTTTCATCTTTGCAGATCAGCTTCACAGATAGGGAAAGCTCTAGAGGCATTAGTGTGTAGAAAAAAAAAAACAAACTCACAGGATAATTTTACAGAAAACATTAATAATTCTTCAAGGTAAATGATCTGAAGTTAAAAAAAATGGGAGGCCAAAGGAAAGGATTTCTCTACTGAAGAGCTTATGCGAGAAAGGGCAAAGCCAACACAATAGAGCGCTGAGCTAGAGCTACCAGGGAACTTGGTTTTTCCTTTTCCTTTTATCATTAATGTTAGCATGCACATTCTTCCATATTGTGTCCGAAGAGTAACCGAATTATATAACGCAGGGAAGCGGAAAGACCCAGAAGATAAAGATGGATGTTACCTTGGCCATCTCCTGAGCAACAGAGAAGTTGTGCCTTTTAACACTTGCCAGGTGATCAGCTGCCAAATCCCTGCGGCTTCGTTCGTGGCTGTACCGGTGCTTTAAAGGTGTAAAGCACTAGGTTGGTGCTGGGACTGTCAGTCCACACAGGACACAAAGAAGCATTAAAAGTTACAGCATGTCCTTTCCTACAACCTTAGGTAGGCAGCTTTTTGCTGCAGCAAAGATTTGCCTCTCAAGATATTTCAGTTCTTTGCCAAAATAATGAGAAATCAGAATATACATCTCTAACAGATTTTCTAGAAAGCTCTCAAAGACAGTTTGGATTTAGTCTGAGCTTCTTCCATCTCTGCTAGGAAGACGGGACACTGACAAGGCATTAGCAACAGAGAAAATACGCTGCTGATACAAAAGCTGACAGTCACCCTGTACACAGAGGGCTGCTATTTGCCTCTTTAGGATGCTCTTACTACCGGCCCCAAGGAGATCCGGTTTCTCCTGTGTGCCCATGCACTGCAAGGAAAGGCCAATTAAAGGGGTTTGGATTTCATCAGACACCAACAGCGTGGCTCTTCCTTGGTAAACACCCACAAAATTACCTCCTAGCTAAGAATTTAATCCTACTCTCCTGTGTAAAGGCAGCAGTGTTCGAGCAAGCTGCTGGGGGAGGATGGCTCGTGGAACAGACAGACGGTGAGAAAACGAGTTCCCTGTCATGCCAGAGCCCACGCTGCCATCGTGACTCACAGTTGGTACTGGCTTCACCTCTGTGGTGACATTTCTGACAAAAAGGAGATGTTGGTAGCGCTAAGATCAAGTCATGAATATCTTTGAGTCTGGGCTCTCTTTGACGCTCGTGCATTTGATCTTTCACACATTATCCCTAGAAAAAGTACTGTTGATCATATTTTCTAGCAGGACCCAAAGCTGTTTCCTCCATGTTCCAAAAGAGAATTGAGGGAGGAAATTTTTCAGAGAGCTTGTGAATGTAGGAAGAATCAGTGTGAGGTAGTGATTTCATCTTAGCTTTAGGGTACAAGTAGGCTACAGGCGTGGAATGCAGGAAAACAGGTCCGATATGTTTAGAGGCTTCAACATTTTTATAGCCTGAGGAAATCCAGAATGTCCCTGGAAAAGATTTGGCTGGTTGATTTTGTTTGGTTTTGATTTGCAAATTACAGAAAGCTCACCAGAAACTGTAACACACACACACACACAATCCTGCAGAAAGCAAGCTGCTGCTTTTCCAATTAGCCCAGCCCCTCACGCTGCTCAGTCAAGCCGGCAGATCTTGACTTCCCAAAAAACACAGCTCGTAGTTGGGGACTTCGGTCCCACTGCGACCAACTGCTTGAATCAGTGAGTGAGCTAATTTTCTTTGATTTGTTAGTGATGGGAGTTGGTATAATCAGTAATAACGACAGGTATATGCAGCATGAGACGTATATAGCGCGGCACAGATTGCAGTGCCTTGAAGAACAGTCTAAATTAGATTTAGGATAATGTAGGCTAAACCCGGACGTCGGCTCTCTGTAATGTTTGTCTCTTAAAGTAAAACGCTTCGTCTCCCTGCCTGTTTGATTTATGATAGATTAGGATGTCGGTTAATCTCTTTTTATTTGGCTAGATGACTGTAGAGATTAATCAAGTATTGTCTGCAAAAGGAGCCCATAAATACAGATTACTAATTTTTCTTTAATTATTCCTCTGTATGCCAATGGGATACAGAAGGGGTATAGACAAGGATGACACCAGCCTCTTAAATCTCATTTCATGAAAAAAAGAGAAAACACAGCAGCTGCTCTGGCTGATACTGTTTTTCTCTGATGTGCTCAGTTCAGTTTCCTGGAAAAGGCAAAAAGCCACAGAAATAATAGATTATGGTCTCCTGTGAGAAAACGGGGAAGCAGAAAGTAGTTCCGAGGGAGTGAATGTGCTTGGCTGGAACAGCAACAGCTCTTGTTTCCACAGGCCATGGAGAAAGCAGCATTTCTTATGGGAAAAGCTGTACTGAA